TATATATATTCATATCTATCTATATCTATATCTATATCTATATCAATATCTATACCTATATTTATATTTATATTTAAATATATATATATGTATATATATTGTTGTGTGTATGAATATGAATTTATTTGGACATTCATGCCGCACACTCCCAGCCGGAGCTGGCAATCATTCATATCCAAAGCAATAAAAGCATCACATATAGCCTGAATTTCAAGGCGAATTAGGCAATACACGCTGCACGAGCACGTACGAGGACGAGGCATATCGGTGAAGCATGTGCGACTTAAACTCCCCACCTTGCGTTGAACACTGAAACACACCCATAAAAGCAATAAGGCTGATCGGGCTGTTGTGAACAGCCGGATCTTTAGCCAAGCATTCTGGCTGTCAAGTGCTTCGCAATGCGACACCTAAACCGTCACATAGGTGAGCAACGGACTACTGCATCTCTCATCGATTACTCTTGTTCTGAACTTCCCACAGACCGCGTGCCCCTGATTGTGGCCAATCATCTGTCGTACATTGATGTGCTGGTGCTCATGAAGCTGTATCAGCCCAGTTTCGTGGCCAAGGTGAGCTTTGACACAGGCTTTACGATGCATTGGAAGTGCCAATTCTACTTTCGTTCGTTCAGTGCTTTTGGACTTCGATGGTTTATTAGTGTAATTTCGGGTCATCCGCTTGCGCATCTAGAGGTTCAAAAATTTATGTGCCCGATTCCACAATGTCCCTGAATTCCATTGATAGTACATTCAAATTGTGATTCTACAATGTCCCTGAATTCCATTGATAGTATATTTTAATTTAGATATTACAATGTTCCCAAATTCCATTGATGGTATGCGCTATTCTCGATTCTACAATTTTTACAATTCCATTGATATCATGTTCTAATCCCGATTCTACAATGTTCTCGAATTTTATTGATAGTATGTTTTAACCCTGATTCTACACTAATTCGCGAATTCCATTGATAGTATATTCTAAGCTCGATTCTACAATGTTCCCGAATTCCATTGATAGTATGGCGTGCGGAATGTGCCGGTTATCGGAGCCATTGCCAAAACGCTGCACTGTCTGTTTGTATCACCGCCCGCAAACTACAAGGAACAGAACCAAGGGCAATCCTCAACCACCCCCACAATCTCTGTCAGTGGGGTACAAGAGATCACTAGGCGGTCAACGCCTTCAGGTAAGATTGTATCATTTGGTGCCTTTGATCGTGTATGTATATGTATATGTACACGTATATATATATGTTCACATATGTACATGGCTGCGTTTAATAT